ACTCCAGTTCCAGGTGGCCTCTGTGGACATCAGGCACATATACATACATGCAGACAAACACCCATGCACATAAACATTTTAAAAGTTAGAAAACAATAGTATGAGCCAAGTCACATCTGTATAGCTGCACTCTGGAGGCGGGCACCGGAGGACCGTAGGTATTAGGCTGGTTAGGGCTACAAGGCCAGATCCCAATATGAAAAAGAAATGACAGAAATCCTGCCTGCAAGGAGAGGGGTCTGACATAAGAACAGCATAAGCAGAGAGAGTTTATGGTGGAGAAAAGGGGAAACAGCCAAGTTGGGGGCTGTGGTGCCCACCTTTAATCCCTGCGCTTAGGAGGCAGAGGCAGGAAGATCTCTGTGAGTTCGAAGACAGTCTGGTCTACAAAGTGAGTCCAGGACAGCCAAGGCTACACAGACAAACCCTGGAGAGAGAGAGAGAGAGAGAGAGAGAGAGAGAGAGAGAGAAAACAGCCAGTCCTGGGAGGGGGTGCAGAGTCAGGGCTTGATGTTAACCAGTCTAGCTTGATGGTTGAGATCCAGGATCAGTGAGAGAACCTGTCAATTATATAAAAAGTGACTGAGAAAGACACTAGATAACTTCTGGCCTCCACACCAGCATGCACAAGCAAGCAAACACACATATGCAGTTACACATACATGCACCAAAGGAAAAAGAAAAACAAACAAACAACAAAGAGAAAAGAAAAAATAAAGCAGTCAGGAAGGTCTGGAGTGGACTTACAGTTTAGACAGGGTGTGGGAGGTCCATCCATATTCAAGCCTAAACAGAAGAGCAGGGAGGACCCTCAGGGGTCACCTTCAGTGAGCCTTTCAGTCAAAGTGTCCATTGTGTGAAGACCCTGAGGTTGGACCCTGACAGGGGCTAGGGACGTGGTCAGTGGTAAGCATTTCCCTGGCATGCTCCAGACCCCAAGCTTCTTCCCTGGTACTTAGAAAAATGCCAGCACAGAGCACAAGCCACATGCACAGTAAGCACCAGAGAAACCCCATGAGACCTATAACAACAACAACATGATCAAAAACCCAGCCAGCAGGGGGTGTACACTTTCAGCCCACAGGAGACAGGCAAATATCAGTGAGCTTGAGGCTAGCCTGCTCTATGTAGCCAGTTCCGGGCAGCCAGGTTGTGTCTTGACTCAAGTGTGCACTGGGGAGAGACTGAAGGATGAGAACAAGGCAATGAACCAGGACAGGGCACGAGAGGTGGAGCCTGGGTCTATTTCAGCCTGCAGACAGGTCAGGCTTGGGGTAGGGGCAGAGGAGGGACATCACAGAGCAACCAGCCTGAAGCTTTTCTTCGGTTACTCTGTCCACTCCCCACTCTGTTCTGTAATGGGAGTTTGGTTTCTTTGGAAGTTATATAAAAAAATGGTTTTGTTTTAATCCCAAGTGTGGGATTTTAGCTGGGCTACAGTTTGCCCATACCTGTTAATTGTTTCATGCGGGGCTTGATCTTTGCCAGCTGGTAACACCTTCCACGTGCTGCACGGAGAGGGGCGTGGTCTAGGACTCTGAGAGTATAAATACAAGGCTGAGCAAGAGACAGTGGGGTGTTCAGTGTTGGCATGTGGCGTGGAATAGTTTGGAGAGATCAGAGACTAGAGACGGTACAGCAGTTTGGAGCAGACAAAAGGATAGAAATACTTCAGGGCGCAGCGTCATGGAGGGGCCTGCTAGCTGTGTCTGCAGTTGATGGAGATTGGTCCAGAGCCCTAAAAGAACCTCTTGACCCTAAACAGCCGGGAGAAGTAAAGGGGTCTGCCCCCCTCTACCCACTAACCTTTTCTCTCTTCTACTTAAGGTTGGGGGGTTGGTGGAAAGGAGTGAGGCCTAAACACCCCAAATAAAGTAAAGTTTAAAAGCGCCACCAGCAGCTTTCTGCTACACTGTCCTCGAAACACTGAATCAGGTTTTCCTGTTAAAGATTTACTTTTGTCTATGTGCATGATGGCCTGCATGTATGTCTGTGCACCACGTGCTTGCCTGGTGCCTAGGGAGGTCAGAAGAAGGTAGAGGGTCCCCTGGAACAGGAGTTAAAAATGGTTGCAAGTCAGCATGTCGGCGCTAGTACTGGGAAGTGAACCCAGGTCTTCTGGAAGAGCAGGGAGTACTCTTCACCACTAAGCCGTCTCTCCAGCCCTTTTTTGTTTTTGTTTTTTTGTTTTGTTTTATTTTTTTGTTTTGTTTAAGACTCAAGTTTGGCCTGGAATTCCCAGCAATCCTCTTGCCTTTCCTTGCTGGGATGACTCCTTTGGACCAACACCCTTGGCTTTTTTTTTTCCCTAGTTGTTTTGAGACAGTACCTTATGTAGCCCTGGCTAACCTTGAACTTGACGTGTACATTAGTCAAGGTTCTCCAGAATAACAAAAGTGATAGAATAAATATTTATGTGGGGTTTATTAGAACGGCTTACAGGTGGTAGCTCAGGTAGCCCAACAGTGGCTGTCTCCTGTCAATCCCAGAATCCACTTGTTCTTCAGTCCACAAAACTGGATGTCTCAGCTGCTCTTTAGTATGTGTCAGAATTCCAGAGAAGGGGACTGTAACGTCAGTGAGGGGACAAACATGCCAATGACAGTGAGGACAGGCAGGCAAAGAGCAAGAGCGTCCACCTGTCTTCCACTCCTCTACAGAGGCTGCTCCCAGAGGGTGTGGCCAGATTTAAGGTGGCCAAACCTCAAATATCTAATCAACTAAAAGTTCCTCTCACAGGTGTGTCCACTGTTTCAGGCTTTTAGTTTGTTTCAAATGTAGGCAAGGTGACAACCAAGAATAGCCAGCACACCTTGTAAAGGTGTCTTTCATCTTGAAGTCCTGATCCTCCTGTTTCTGCCTTCCTCTTGCTGGGATAATAGTCGTGAGCCATCTTGCTTGCTTTGATCTCCATTCAACAGACAGGGAAATCAAGTCCCAGGGAGGCTTTTCCTGCCAGTCTGTGGGGACACTAAGCCCTGAGGTCCACCATTTTGGGAGAAAAAAAAGGCCCTTGAGACTTGGAATGGCCCTATCTTCAGCCTCCCTCCTTCCTGCTGGCTCTTGCTCAAATCTCAAGGGGTTAAATCCTGAACTGGGGCTCAGCCACTCACACAACACTTTCCTAATGTAGCCACTGGCCACTTTTCAATGTCCCCTGTGAATTACTATATACCACACGTTTCTCTTCTTTTATAAAATTCAGACACCAAGGCTTAAAGAGAAAGTTCTACCATGCTTAGAATTCTTGGCCATAGTCTTTATTCCACAAACCGTAAGTTTCATGGCCTTTACACTTACCTGACATATGGGGTGGTGGAGAGGGGGTGATGGTTTAGTGTCAGGATAGGAGGGAGGACACACCAGGATGGAATTGTAAGTACTTTGTAACCCTTCTAAATAGAGGAAGAAAGATACATATTCATGACAATTAATTGTAGCCAATGCATTTAAAATACCATTATAATTGACAAGGTGAAAGCTAAAGATTTAAGCTTTAAATTTAAAATTTAAAACCTGGTTTAGAAGCTTTTTACAAATCAAATGTTTATTTTCTTTTTATAAAATGTTTCCTTTATATGTTTATTTCAGAGAAATACTGTGTCTTTTTTTAAAAAAATATTTATTATTTATACAGCATTCTGCCTGCACACCAAAAGAAGGCACCAGAACTCACTATAGATGGTTATGAGCCACCATATGGTTGCTGGGAATTGAACTCAGGAAGAACAGTAAGTGTTCTTAAGCTCTGAACCATCTCTCCAGCCCCCATGTCTTTGTTTTTATTATTAATTTTCAGTTTGTCAGGCTGGAGAGATGGCTCAGAGGTTAAGAACACTGGCTGTTCTCCCTAAAGGTCCTGAGTTCAATTCCCAGCACCCACATGGTGGCTCACAACCATCTGTAGTGAGATCTGGTGTGCAGGTACACGTGTAGGCAGAATGCTGCATAAATAATAAATAAATAAATCTTTAAAAAATTTTCAGTTTGTCTATTGTTAGTTTTGTATATCTGTACTTCAACTTTATGCTGTGCTTGTAGAGACCAGAGAGGGCCTGGTGTCAGATCCCCAGGGACTGGAGTTACAGGCAGTTGTTAGCTGCCTATGAATGCTGGGACTCTAACCCTGACTGTGGAAGAGCAGCCAGGGCTCTTACCTACCAGTGCTCTAAACCTTGCGCCATCTCTCCAGCCCGTTAGTCCACGTTCTCTACAACTTCTTTTCTTCCTCTCTTATGCTATCAGGAGAGCCACCAACTCACAGCAATCCTCTTGCCTTGACCTCATGAGTGTCACTGTTACAGTGCACCATCACAGTCGGCGACAGTCACCCTGTGACCCTGGAGTGTAGGAAGGTAAAAAGGAGACCTGAAGCTCCTGCTAGTTTCTGCCTGTGATTCCAGCACACTCAGGCCTGGGAGGCAGGAAAATCAGCACTTCCAGGCTACCCTAGGCTACACAGAGTTCAAATGCAGTCTGGGAGAGACCCTGTTTCAGAGAAGAAAAAAATCAATAAAGTTGGGCTGGAGAGAAGGCTCAGCAGTCAGGAGCACTGGCTGCTCTTTCAGGGGACCTGGGTTCCTTTCCGAGCACCCACTTGGCAGCTCCCAACTCTCTGTAACTGCAGTTACTCCCTCACACAGACACACATGCAGACGAAGCACCAATGCATATGAAATTTAAAAAAATAATTAAATCAATGTAATTGACTTGAAAAATCACTAGATGTGGTTGGAAATGTGATTTTCTGGGTAGACAACCTAGGTTTGGCATCCCCCTGCCCTAAAAAGAATGATAATTACATGAGTTATTCTAACAGGAAGCCAGTGTACATCACGTGATTCTCTATAGGTTGTGGTAAGGTCAGCGTGTAACCAAAAGCCCTGCAGGAGATATCCAGGGGTCAGAGTTCTCGTTATCTATTTGACTTTAAGCTTGTATTCCAGTTGATTGATCAATTTAGAGCTTGGGTATGTGAGCTGTACAGTGTGCCCGTGCAGGTCAGAGGACAACTTTCGGGAGCTGGTTCCGCCATGCGGGTCCTGGTCAAATCAGGTCAGCAGGTTTCGGGCGAGTGCCTTTACCAGCTGAGCCATCTTCCCTTGTTCTTTTTTCTTCGTTCGTTTGTTTATTGTTTGTTTGTTCATTATTTTGAGAGAGACGCTCACTGCAGAGGCCTGGCTGGCCTGGAACTCTCATGTGGCCAAAGGTGGCCTCAGGTTTAGCCTCTGCTTTCCGTAGTGCAGAGGTTATTTTTATAGGCATACGCAACCATGCCACGAAGCTCTCTTATAGTCCTGGCAGGCTTCAAAAGCAAGAAAAAGGATGACTTGAACTCCTGATCAGCGCTGGATCACAGGCTGGTGCTCCTTCCCCGGTCTATGTGGCCCTGAGTCTAGACAGGGTTTCCAGCGTGTTAACCAAGCACTGTCTCCTGTGGGCTTGTTCATAGCCTGGCATCCTGGAAGGGCCCTCTACCCTCCTCAAGTTTTTATTTGGCCTCTGACTCCTCTGAGCCTCAATTTCTCTCCGGGAAAAGTAGCAGGAAAGTCCTGCTAGTGGGAATGAGGGTCGTTCACCAACCCAGGGCGTTGCTCCGGTGGGAGCTCCACCCAGCTCTTTCCGACGTGGCTGGGTCCCTGTCCCGGGACACCCTCTCTGCCTACGCGGTCCAGCTCTGCAGCTTGCCGCTTGTCTGCCAGGGTAGGGCGTGGGGAGAGGGCGGGTGACAGGGCGCGCGCGCACGGTGGGTTGCGTTTGTTCCAGACCCGAGCGCGCGCCGCGCCCTCAGTCTGTTTCCCCGGCACTTTCCTGTTACTTTCCAGCAGGAAGGACAGTTCCGGGGAGGGCCCTGCCCACGCCGGGTGCATAAAGGCCCAGCCCAGCCGGCAGCCACCGCCCACCGGCAGCCAGAGCCGTCCGATCCGCGCCACCATGAGAGGCGCCCGCCTCTGCCTACTGCTCGGTGAGACCTTGGGGCTTGCGAGGGGCCGGCGGGGGGGGGGGGGGGACACTGGCAGGACGGGCCAAGAGGGGCAAGAACAGGCAAAGCCTGTGCACGTCTGCCCTCCAGAAGGCTCTTATGGGAGCTGGGCCCTAATGGACTTGAAGGCTGCCAATTTGGAGGGTAAGAGAGAGAAACTGAGGCACAGGGACACATTAAAGGGGTGACAGAGCCGACATGGTGTCTGTTACAGAGCATTCCGGAGGCTGGTTCAGGAGGGTGCAGTTTCAGGTCAGCCTTGGCAACACAGAAAACCCTGTCTCAAAAAACAAAAGAAAGAGAAGTGCAGGCTAGAAGCTGAAGAAATAGTGCAGAGGTTAAGAGCATTAAGAGAGGGCCTGGTTGGGTTCCAGCACCCACATGGTGGCTCACAAGAGTCTGCAACTCTAGTTTCAGCGGATACAACACCCTCTTCTGCTCCCACAGGCACCAGACGTATGTAGTGCACAAACATACATGCAGGCAAAACACACATAGAATAATAAAAAGAAAGAAAAGGAAGGAAGCAAGGAAGGAAGGAAGGAAAGTAGGAAGGAAGGAAGGAAGGAAAGTAGGAAGGAAGGAAGGAAGGAAAGAAAGGTTGGGTAGAGTAAACTGCCCGTCACCCATACAGACGCTCTTAATGTGAAGCACAGCCCTTTGGAGATGCCAGGTTCAATGAGGGTGGGAACCCCCCTACCTGCTGTCTATCCTGAACACCGCAGAGACCCTCCTGGGGACCTGCCTGGGACTGAGCCACTGGCTGAAGGGAGGTTACCAGACTGTGGTTTGAACTTGGTTTTTGTTGTGAGTTCTCTGGTCTTTCCCACCCCACCCTGGGCGCCTCCAACCGTTATCTGACTGCTAAGTTACCTAAGTAACTTGACAACAAACAGTGAAGAAATGGAACTTGGGGCGCAAGCTGGGGTTACCCCAACCACAGTGACTGGCCTGTGTGTCAGTGGCAGGTGACAGGTGGCAGGGAGCTCAGTGGCCTGTGGGCTCTGCAGCCAGGGACTAGAGTCCCAGGAGGGCACAGTTGGTAGAAGACAGCTGCAGAGGCCTGCATGGCTGTCACTGGGCTGCACTGGCTGTCATAGTGACCTTGGGCTGCAGTTTCCTCCTCTGTAACAGAACAAGACCAGCTGCATTTTACAGTATTGTTTCAAGGGCCAAGACTTTGTACAAAAACGTTCTAGTTCACAGTTTGAATTAACTAAACATGTGAATGTCATGTCTGTGTCTGCAATCAGAGTACCCTGGTAGTAGAGGCAAGAGAATCAGAAGTTCAAGGTCATTCTCTGCTGCATACTGAGCTGAGGGCACATGAGACCTTGTCTCAAAAAACCAACCTACCAACCTAGCTAGTCTCAGGTCTTTAATCCCAGCACTTGAGAGGCAGAGGCAAGCGGCCTCTGTGACCTGGTGAGTTGGAGGCCAGCCTGGTGTACATAGCAAGTTGGCCCCCAACCTCCCCCCCCCCCCAGAGACAGACAGACAGACAGACAGAGACAGAGACTCACACATACAAACTTAAGTGGACATGTTTTATCAATTATTGTTTTTCTGGGTGAGATGCATGTGGGATCTCCAGCAGGAAGCAGAAAGGCTGCCCTACCCCCACTTCTGGAGTCCCTAAGCAAGAGTCCCAGGGCTGCAGTCTGAGCTGGGAATTGGAACCAGATGTGTCTGGGAGCAAAAGGAAACAGCTCTGCTCCTGTTTGATCAACTTCCCAAGTCTCCAGATGTAGGCGGCTGGGCCAGTGTTTCAGGATGGTGGGGTGAAGGGACAGGGAGCCCACCATAGCTTAGGTGACTCAGTTGCTCTGGTCTGCCTACCCTTCCCTGGCCTGGTTTGATCACTCATCATTTTCCAAGCTCCAAACTTCAGTTTCTCTTTGTGTAGATTGGCCATAACTCTAGCCCCTACCTCCTAATGTGGTTTTGAGTCTTCCTGTATTGTTTTTTGTTTTTGTTTCTGAAACCAGGTTTTATGACAGCTAAGGATGACACTGAACTTCTGATCCTCCTGCTTCCATCCCTGGGTGCTGAGATTACAGACTTTTGAAACAGGGTCTAGAGTATTTTTAGTTTTGTATTTTATTTTTCTTTGTTTTTTGAGACAGGGTTTGGCACTGTAGTTATGTAGCCCTGACTGGCTTTGAATTTATAACAATCCCCCTACTTCCGTTTTGTTGTTGTTGTCTTTACTGTGTAGCCTTGGCTGGCCTGTAACCACCTAGGTAGATCAGGCTGGCTTCTAGCAGAGTGCCACCTGCCTCTGCCCCACCAGTGCCAGGACTGAAAGTGGACGTTGCCATGCCTGGCCGTGGTTCTGAGTCTTAAAGACTGGAAAGGTAGCTCAGTGTTTAAGCGCACTGCTGTTCTTTCAGAGGAGGGAGGTTCAGCTCCCAGCAACCTCACAGTGGCCCCAGTTCCAGGGGATCCAATGCCCTCTTCCGACCTCCCTAGGCACCAAGAAATATGCATGTAGACAAAAACATCCATACATCTAAAACCATCAATAATCTATTTTTAAGTTACTCGAGGGCTGGGAAGAGGGTGGTCAGTGAAATGATTAGGTTGCAGTGACACACACTTTGGATCCTCGCATTCCATCTCTGGGGCTTGCCAGCCAGCCTAGCCTGCTTGATGAGCCCAGGTTCACTGAGACCCTGTTTCATAAATGAAGGTGAAAGGCACCAAGGTGGTTCACATGGAAAGACACATACTGTACTACTAGACTTTACGAACTGTGAATTGCCCTGGGGCACATCCTGAAAAAAAGGTCATTTTGTGATCTGTCCCACAAAGAGGAACTGGGTTCTGATGGGGGTGGCAGGGAGAAGTCCAGCTCTATGGCCCAAGAGGAGAAAGAAAGAGGAATTCTGACTTGAGGGGGACAGCCCAGCCTCTGGTCGCCCCAGCTATGAGGGGGTGAGTTTCACACAGAGCCCTCCACTGGCCTGAGGGGAACCCAGCCAAAGACTGAGCTTTCAGGGGACCCTCTGAGATACAATGACTCTGCCCCACCAACCCTGTTCATAGTGGCTGGCCCCTGCAGCCCCCTGAGAACCTGGCATGCAGCCCAGTGGTGGGTGAGTCATCCAGGAAGTGACTCACCATCTCCCCCACCAGCCCTTCACCCTAGGGCTCCCTCCAGGACTCCTGTTGTTGGGATTGTTTTCTTGGTGCCTTATTTCCCAGACTGGGAGCAACTCTGTCCCCTAAATTCTCCCATACTCCCTGCTTCTGAGACACCGTCCCTTCCCACTTTCTCTCTGCACTGCCCTTGTTCTTTTTCTCTTCTGTACTGAGAGGGAAGCCAGGGCTTCTCACCCACAGGGCCAGCACCCTCACACAGCCTCCACCCAGGGCCTAAGCTCTACAGCCCAGGTTGGGGACTTTCATTACTCTTGTGCCAGCACCCCAGGTAGTCGGCCCTTGGTTTCCATTCTTTGTCTCTCTCTCTAGACTCAGTTTGTGTTTATGAGTGCTTTGCTTGCATATATGTGTGTGCACCACACGCATGCCGAGTGTCCTTGGAGGTCAGAAGAGGCTACCAAAGTGTCTGGATGGAGTTACAGATGGTTGTGAGCCACCATGTGGATGCTGGGAATTGAATTCTGGGTCCACTGGAAGAGCAGCTCTTGACTGCCATCTCTCCAGCTGGCAGTCTTTTTGTTTTTGTTTTTTAATTCATTTTTAGTTTTTGTGTGGGTGGGTATCACATGACATGATACCCATTTAGAGGTCAGTCCTCTTCTTCCATCCTGTGGGTACCCCCCACCCGGGGACCCCCTCCCCTCTCCTTTTTGGTCCTGTGGATGGAACCCAGGGCCCCAGGGCCTTGTTTCAGTCAGGTTCCCACTATGCTCAGTGCTGCCCTTGAACTTTGTGCAGCTTTTTTTTTTTTTTTTTAAAGATTTATTTTATTTATGTATATGAAGTCTGTAGATGGTTGTGAGCCACCATGTGGTTGCTGGAAATTGAACTCAGGACCTCTGGAAGAGCAGCCAGTGAGTGCTCCTAACCGCTGAGCCAGCTCTGCAACCCCTGTGTATCCTTTAACTGAGGAGCCTTAGGCCCCAGCCTCAAGTCACTGGATTACAAGCCTTGCCTGGCGCCTCCTGTGCTGCTTCTGCTCTCTTTCCCTGCTTCTCATTCCCTCTCCGTCATTCATTTTCTCCCTGCCCCTCTGCTGTCTTGGATGTCGGTCTCTAGTGAGTGCTCTGCCACTTCAGGCTTCCCTTCCTGGCTTGGGTGGGATGTGCCAGCAACAGCAAGGCATCAGGGCTGTGTTCAGCAGCCACCATCCTCCACTGCAGCCACTTCCTGCGACATGTCACCACCGGGTCATGTGGGTGACAGGGGTGACAGCGGGTAGGGGTGTATGGTGTTGGAGTGTCAGAACTTGGTTGGGACCTGGAAGACATAGCCCAAGCTTTCATTCTTTTCAAAAAAATGACAAGGGTCTGGCCTGATGGCAAAGGCATGTCTGATTTCCTCAGGACGCAGGAGGATTTCAAGTTCAGACCCAGCCAGAACAATTTAGGAATAAAAGAAAAATAGGGTTTGAGAGTGAGGCTCAGTGGTAGAGCACTTGCATAACATGAAAAGGCCTTGGATTCCACCCCAGCATTTTGAGAAAAGAGAGATCGAGAGAGAGAGAGAGAAACCTGATAGAAACCAAACTAAGAGTAAGAGTAAGCGTAAAAGACAATGTTAAGCTGGGGGCATGGTGGCGCCTCACCTTTAATACCAGCACTCAGAAGGCAGAGGCAGGTGCACTGAGTTCAAGGCCAACTTGGTCTACATAGTGAGTTCCAGGGCAGCCAGAGCTATGCAAAGAAACTCTGTCTCAAAAACAAAACAACAAAAAGGACAGTGTTAAACACTTAGCCATGTAGAGTTTGTCCCACAAAAGGACGCCATTGTTACCTCCATCTGCACAGAAAGGGAAACTGAGGAAGAGAGTGAGGAAGCGACATCCAACATCTGCTGGGGCCTGTGGGTCCCTTTGTCCACCTCTTGGGCCTGGAGAGCCAGAGCCCAGCTTCCTGTGTTCAAACCCCACTGGTCCCCAGGTCCTGGACTGGCCCGCAGGCCACCATGGGTACTCATCCTCTGACTGTGGGTGCCTGAGCCACAGGAGGCAACCCTTGAGTTGTGTGTTTTATTTTGTTTTTCTCTCTGGTTTGTTTTTGAGACAGAGCCTCACTGTGTAATTTAGGCTAATCTCAAACTCACATCTGGAACTCTGCATCTGGCTTTTTGTTTGTGATGTTGTTTTGTGTTTTTTTTTTTTTTTAATGTTTTGTTTGTTTTAGAGATAGGATTTATGCAGCCTAAGGTTGGTCTTAACCTTGCTGTGTACCTCAAACTTGTGATCCTCCTGCGCCCTCTTCCCAAATACTGAGTTTTCAGGCATGCACCCTTTACTTGATTCTATACAAGTTTGTTGTTGTTGTTTGCTTGTTTCTTTTTTCATCTATTTATTTATACATATTGTGTTTGTCTGCATATATGATACCAGAATTGGGTATCAGATCCCATTACAGATGGTTGTGAGTTGCCATGCCGGTACTGGGAATTGAACTTCTGACCTCTGAAGTGCATCCAGTGTTCTTAAACGCTGAACCATCTCCCCAGCCCTGGCTGGTTGGGTGATTTTGTTTATTTGTTTGTTTTGTTTCTATTCTTTTCTTTTTGAGACAGGATCTCAGTATGTAGCCAAGGGTTGGCTTTGAGCTCCTAATCCTGCTGCCTCAGCATCCTGAGTGACAGAATTATAAGCAAGTGTCATTAGACCCAGCTGCTGGGTCTGTCTTCGAATATTACCTACAAACCTCAGCCTGGGCAGGGTCAGCTCCCAGTGCCCACAGATGCACAGCTTTGGCTTCCTGCTCCTGCTCTGGGTTCCACCTGATTGGCCTTTGTTTTGTTGCAGTGGTGGGCACCTTACTGAGTCTGTCAAGAGCCAGAAGTCAGATGGATAGGGGTGAGTCTATTGGACAGGAGGGCTCCCCCGCCAGAGCTGGGGCGAAAACCCCACTGCCAACCACAGAGCCTTGGGAGGAGATGGGCAGCTGCTGGGGAAGTCTAGGGTCCTTCTTACACCTTTCTAAAATTCTGTTCTAGGTGGCACTTCCCTCTACTAGGCCTCCTTTACTTTCTTACTGAAGTATCTGTCCCACAGGCTGTGCCGAATGGTGCCCTCACAATTCAGAATGTATCGATAGTGAAAGGTGTCGCTGCAAGGCAGGCTTCACGTCATCAGTGATAGTCATTGAAGACCCCTCAGTGAGCTGTGAAGGTACAAAGGCTTGGGGCATGGGCCTATCGAGAAGAGGACAAGGTGTGGTGTAGAGCCAGGGGTTTCAGCCTTCATCAAAGACAGAACAAGAAAGCAAGGTGGGGAGGCAAGAAGTAAACAATCAGGGCTTCCTGAGAGAGGGGCCTGGGTGCCAGGGGTCTGTGCCTGGACTTCCTGAGAGAGGGGCCTGGGTGCCCGGGGTCTGTGCCTGGACTTGGCTTTAGGACTGGGAATGGGAAAGCTGACCTTCCATCCACTCCCACATTGGTGTTGTCCAAAGCCAGGGCTCCATCTAGAGGACTGAGAGGAGCAGAGCTGACCAGTCAGTCTTCAGGAATAGCTTGCTCAAGTTCTAGCACAGCCTCATGAGTACAGCCCATACTTTCTCCCAAAAGATAGTAACTCAGTGGCAATTCGTGTATTGGTAGTCAGGAGGGGATGGGGTCTCCCCCTTGAGAGAACTTTCAGCTGCGGGAGGTGACCCCTGTTGTGTTGTAGATATCAACGAATGTGTACAGGTCAACTGTGGATCATACGCCAAGTGTGAGAACACAGAGGGGAGCTACTTCTGCATCTGCAACCCGGGATATAAGCTTCTTTCTGGAGCAGAACGTTTCACTAACAATAGTGAGAACACATGTCAAGGTAAGAGCCTGCTGAGGCCTCACCTGCCCTATGGCAGCCTCGCCATCACAAGTGTAGCTACAAGGCAGGGCTCTGATATTGGTTCTGCCCCTGTGGTTTGCTCTGGGTCACATTTCACATCCACAAGCACAGAGCTACAGGGAGGAGTGGGGATTCGGGACACCCTAGCCCAACCCCATCCTGACACCTGTGTGGACTCAGAAAGCCCTGTTTCATTGGGTATTGTGGCATACATCTATGATCCAACACTCTGGAGTTCGAGGCTAGAATACAAATCAAGTAATGCAGATGTCGTGAGCTCCAGGACAGCCAGAGCTATGTAGAAAGACACTTTCTCAAAACAACAAAAATAGCCTGCTGGTGGTTGCGCACACCTTTCATCCCAGCATTTTGGAGGCAGAGGCAGGAAGATCTCTTTGAGTTTGAGGCCAGTTTGCTCCACAGAGTGAGTTCCAGAACAGCCAGGGCTATTCAGAAAAACCCTGTATTGAAAAACAAAAGTAACAAATTCTCCAGGCTTCTCTCCCCAGTTTCTTCTGTCTGTCCCTAATAAAGTGGTTTGCTCTGTATTTATTAAATAGCACAGAAAACACAGCATGGGAAAGGAATTAGGGATTCTCTACAGAAGTCTTAACAGAATTTTATGAGGGAAAAATTACTCAGAACAGCAAAAATAATGATGAAGCAGACATCACCAGCTTCTATCCACATATTGTTTGCAGCATTACAGTGGATATTTGTTGGATAACAGTGTTTCCAACCTGTTAGTTGTTTTCAGCAAATGATTACCACACATGTACTCCTACACACAAAGGCACACATGTACAGTATTCTGGGTCAGGAGCATGGAAGAGTACATAGTTTAGGATTAAAACTATGCATTTAGCTTAGGTTGTAAAGCTGATTACACAGGAAATCTAAGGCTCATTATGGTTGGTTACACTGTTCTATTTTTAAAAAAAGATTTATTTATTATTTATGCAGATTTCTACCTGTATGTGTGCCTGCATTCCAGAAGGCACTAGATCTTATTATAGATGGTTATGAGCCACCATGTGGTTGCTGGAAATTGGAGGACCTCTGGAGGAAGAGCCAGTGCTCTTAACCTCTGAGCCGTCTCTCCAGACCCGTTACACTGTTCTCTTAAAGGCAGGTTAAACTAAACAGGCTGAGCGCACAGTAGGACAGCAGGTTAAGTACATAGTCTTAAGTGATCTCAAGGTAGATTATTAGCTTGATGGCAAGATCTGGAAAGAGTTTGTTCTCTTTGTATGCAAGAGACATTTTCAAAGCCAGGGGTGAGGCACACGCCTTTAAGCCAGCCTCGGCAGACAGAGCTCTGTTGAGGCCAGCCTGATCTACATAGCGAGTTCCAGGACAGCAGAACTATGTAATGAGACTCAAAGCGAGAGACTGATTTTCTGAAAAATGTATCATTATATGAGGTGACACAGGAGTCTCCATGGACTGTAAGGAAGGAGACAGGAAGCTTCCGCTTAGAAAAGAACTCATTCATGGTTCTTCTCTGCATCCTGCATCTCCTTCATCCTGCATTGCTTGGAAGACATGCCCACCTGGATTCCACTCACAGGATGGCAGGATTCCTTGGGCCATATCCTTTGCTCCTTTTCTACTACTTGGTTCTGGAAGTTAAGAACCTCCTTCTCCACATCTGCATCTCATTTTCATAAGCCACCATCCTTCTGCTCATCTGCATCTCATTTGCATAAGCTCCCATCCCTCTGCTCATCTGCATCTCATTTGCATAAGCCAAAGGGTTGGCATTCAGAGTACTCTGTCTCGACCACAAGCACGTTCCACTGCAGCGACTGCCCTTTTCCCAGCATCAGTGGACACTGGGATGACACCTGTCCCCTCCCGGATCCACACAGTTACTACTGCACCTGGAAGTCTCCCTGAGCAGCCGGCTACAGTGCACCCACGGGAACCGCCTGGAGACTCGGGAGAAAGGACACCCAAGGGTAGGTCACATTCTCTGCCATTGCTTCTGCTGGAAGACAATACTTGGTGCCTGGACTCCCTTTTTGATCAGCATTATTCATTGCTCTACCAGTCACTATTGTGACTATCCCCAGCAATTCTGGCTCCTTGAACACAGCATGGAATGACATGCCCAGATTGGGCAGGATAATATCAACACCCTCGACACACACACACACACACACACACACACACACACACACACACACACA